TGCATGGGGCTAGTGGAGGCCTGGCTCGATCAAGATCGTAATATATACTCCATCTGTTTTTAAATACTTGCTTCATTCCTCCTGGGTATTTATGTAAATACAAATCTTTGATCAATTATATTTTTAAGTATAAATCACAAATATTATCAAGGTAGGATAGATAAATAATGCAAAAACAATAAAAATGGAGCAAGTATTTAAAAACAAAGGGATTGGAATACGTATTCTTAAACTAGTAAGCAACCAACATATTGTATTATATACTTTGTACGCCGTATATTTTATCAAAACTAACAAGTTACTTGAAACTATTCTATAATTGGAATAAGCATGCATGAAAATCATAAATAACCACCAAATCACCTATAGTAACAAATCAAACTAGACTTGATCCTAGACTTCCTAGCTATCCAAATATACTTAAATTTGTTACCCACTACATACATTTTACATGTGAAAATGCAGCAAACTAATTTAAATGGCCAATATACTTGGTAATTCCACCATTTTTTGAAGTTATTATTTCATTGTTGGCTTGGCATGTTTGCTAGTGTGATAGTGTGCATAAACTCTCAAAACAATAAATTTTAAAATTTTGTATCAAATAGAATCTAATAAGATTATGAGATCTAATATAATTTAATTTCGCTTTTCACATACATAAATGACAAACGATGATTGATCAAAATGAATTGAATGAATATGGTCGATAGTCAAAACGGGATAACTAAAAAATGGAACATAATGAGATTTATTTATTAATTTAATTCTCAAGTCAAATTCTGATGCTTCTCCCAAAAAATTCGGGGTATTGAAAGCTCAATTTTTTGTCATCTAAAAAAAATAGTACAAAATAAAAATAGGAAGTTGTGTAAAATTTGCTTATGTAAGTAAGTTTTAATAAGGTGGTCCAGCACCTAATAGAGTGTAGGGTGTAATAGTATGGAGTTATGGACCATCCTTAAATAAGAGCCGTACATGAGATCAAGTAAACATGGCAGAAATTTCTGATCAACATTATCAATAATATGATCATCACATTTTTCGGCCTCTAGCGAGGTTAGATTCATAGACAGTACTACACTACCAGTCTACTACTACTGACCTTGTACTCTATAATTTTTAAGATAAAGTATATTATTGTTAGAATATTAACTGAGCTCATTCAAACAAATTCAGGGTATGTTATCCCTTCGTTTTAAAATAAATATTCCATTTTTATTGAGACGATTTTACATATGTCAATATGATTATGAAGATGTTTAGTACAGTAACTATCTAATTTGAGCAAAATTATCTTATTTGACTAAAATTAGCTTATATATTGACGGTTAAATAAGCTAATTCAAGGTGTTTGGTGGAAAACTTATTTAAAAAGCTTATTTCACTAAATAAGCTCTTTTTTAAAAAGCTTATTTTCAGAGCTTTTTTAATTAACTTATTCAATTCTTATGGTGAAATGACATTATACCCCATTTAATTAAAAATCCTATATGAACTACCTACCTCTTAATTAGCTTATTGGTCATTTCACATAATCAACCAGCTTACAATCAACTATTTACCAAACACTTTTCTACAATAAGCTAATAAAATAAGTTAGTCAAATTAGTTAATGCAATCAACTAGTTAAAATTAGCTAACACACTCAATTTAAGCTATCAGCTTTTCCCCAAACACAGCCTATGTTTAATTGTATGTATAAAACACTAATGGAAGTCAAATCAGTATATGTAAATAGTGTAAAGTTAAAATAGCTAGGACACTTATTTTAGAATGGAGGGATCGCTACTAACCTCTTTTTTTATATTATTTTGGGTTTTTCTACATGGTACCCTTGAATTTTTGAGTTTTCTACCTTGTACCTTTCTAAATTCAGATTTCTACAAGGTGACCTTGAATTATTAGTTTATTTTACATTATACCCTTGAGTTTTTAAATTGTTCTATATGGTACCCTTGAGTAGTAATATAAATGGCTCTAAATTAATTTGACTCAAACCCACACCACCTAAACGACTTATTTAGCACCATCAAATACACAACTAACATGTTTATTGCAAAAAAAAAAAAAAAAAAAAAAAAAAAAGACTAACAACTTGAGTCCCTTTTTTTTTTTGACAGCAGATTGAGTCCCTCTAAAACAAGCTCTTTTAGTTAAAGTATGAGCAAAAAAAAGTTCTTACCTTCCATCTCAAATGATCATACAAAAGTTCCACTAAATAGCGAATAATGAAGATTGGTGATTCCTCCATCTAATATAAATATAGAAGTGGTAAATAGATCATTTAGATGGTTTCGGTTTGAGTAAAATTAAGTTAGAGTCATTTAATTTACAACTCAAGGGCACCATGTAGAAAAACCCAAAAACTCAAGAGCACCTTGTAGAACTTAGGATTTAGAAGGGTACAATGTAGAAAACCCAATAACTCAGGGGTACCATGTAGAAAAACCCTATTATTTTCTTACTTGCAAGATTTTTACAATGTATATTACTCATATAGTCATATTCTCCATTTTTTTATTCTTAATTCATTGCATTTCGTCATTTATACTTAAAAGGGAGATATAGTCATATCAAATATTATACTCTTTCTCTCTCTGATTATGATTTATGCATCGTCAAACTTGAAATACAAAAGTATTGCAATAAAAAAAAATAGAGGAAGTTAATAATGGTTTTCTTAATTCTTAGGTCAAGACAATAATGAATAATCAATTAATTAGTTAGATAAAACAAAAAACAAAAAAATAATTAAACAAATAATTAGTAAAAAGTTAATTGATGAAAATAGGTATGTACAAAACCTCTTAAAAGTTAAATAGTTGCAAAAAAAAAAAAAAAAAAAAAAAAAAAAAACTCAAAAACTAATAAAAATGGGTAAATATATATAAGATGTCTTATATAAAAGTAGTCTTACACTTAAGACCATCTTATACATATACAAGATTTACTCATCAGTATTTAATTTTTTGTATAAGGGTCTGTTCACATTTAATTAATTTCAGTTCAGTTCAGTTTAGTTCAATTCAACTCCAATCAGTTCAGTTTAGCTTCTAATTTTCCTCTCTCATAAAATATTCATTTCAGCTAAGCTTAGTTCAGTTCAGTTAAGCTAATTAGCTCCAATCAGTTCGGTTCAGTTCAGCTCAGTTCAGTACATGTGAATAGGCCCTAAGTATACTTTTCATGTGATGTAATATAGCACTGACTATTGAGTCACTTTTTCCCTGATTATTTCCTACATAAATGATAAAACCTTGATAATTCATGTAAGCATGCAGAAGTACAAAGAGTAAAGTGTTATAGTTGATTTTTTTTCCTAAGCACCTTTGTTTTGATGAGTATAAATGGATTGACTAGTTGAATGCTTGATTTAGGATTTATAATGTACGTAGTATTATTATGTACTAAGTATTAATTAGTTAAATTGAGTATTACATTTGAATTACTGATGACGAAAATAAATGAAGTTTTCAATAAATCTATCTGAAGTAATTGATTTTAATATCTATCATCGGCAAGAAATATATGAAAACTAATTAGACTTCATATGTACATATTACATAATATATACTTGATAGTACAACTCCGTACTTACATACTCTCGGAGTCTTGGTAAAATAGCAATAAGGCAACAATATAGGGCGATTAATTAGAAGTAAAAGAATGTCCATTAAATGCTTAGTTACTGCATCACTTAATAAAGATGTTTTTAGTTATTGGTCATGATGATTTATGCTCTTATTAATTATATGTACGTGAGTTTGAGCATGTATATTTTTATCTTCTTTAATTTTTATTTATTATTATTTTTTTAAAAGGTAAGAAAAAATGAACATTAGGAAGCCCTCCTCATGAGGAGAATTCCTAATGTAAAATGTTGAACCGTAAATTGGATTGGGTTTGTTTTTATTTTGTTTAACGGCGCCTTTTTGGTGCAGCAGGCCACACCGTGTGGCCTGCTTCAAAGTCAGCAAAATAACGGAGAACGACGCGCGTATAACGGGATTAGGAAACAAGCGCTGAACAAAATGGCTCTACAAAACACGCGCAAATTTCTAAACCTTAAAACCCATAACAACTCATTTACGAGGAACGAATGCGAAAAGTGAGTGAAACCTCACACAATTTTTCTTCCAGAAATTAAAGAATAACAATGGCAGAAGAATTCGAAAAATTACCTGATTCACAAGAATCATTAGAGATCGAACAAATTGAAGATTCTTTGATGAATCTTGGAATCCAAACTAGTAATCAGGTATTGGATCTGGAAGATGAAAACAGATACAATGAAATTGAAGAAATTAACAAGTAACCCCTGTAAAATTAACATGTAACCCCTGTAAAACTAATAACTAACCCCTGTAAAATTAACAAGTAACCCCTGTTAAACTAACAAGTAACCCTAACAAAAATTAACAAGTAACCCCTGTTAAACTAACAAGTAACCCCTAAAGTAAACAAGTAAGCATAACAAAAATTAACAAGTAATCCCTAAAATAAACAAGTAACCCTAACAAAAATTAACAAGTAACCCCTATAAAATAAACAGGTAACCCTTGTTAAACTAACAAGTAACCCCTAAAATAAACAAGTAACCCTAACAAAAATTAACAAGTAACCCCTAAAATAAACAAGTAACCCTAACAAAAATTAACAAGTAACCCCTATAAAATTAACAAGTAACCCCTGTTAAACTAACAAGTAACCCCTAAAATAAACAAGTAACCCTAACAATAATTAACAAAAAATAAACAAGTAACCCTAACAAAAATTAACAAGTAACCCCTATAAACACTAGGCGAAAAAACCATTTGGGCACCGGTTCAAAACCCCCTTATGCCACCGGTTTTGAACCGGTGGTCATTTGGGGGGTGGCAATATAACTTTCTCGCTTTTTAAGGGTTATTAGCACTGGTTCCTGTTCAAAACCGGTGCCAATAATGGCCAAAAAAATAATTTTTTTTTTCTTTTTTTTTGCATTTTTTTCACTTAAATTGATAAATAAACACTAACATATGTATAAACTTACATATTTTCACAAAAAATGATGTGATATTACAATTTTTGTCCAAAAAATTAAAGTAACACTATAGTCTGCGTGATATGAACAAATGCAAATTTATCAGACCAACATACTACCAGAAAACTATCCTTAATTAACTACTTTAATACTTACAATAACCCAGTTTATATTACAAAAAACCTTCAAATGTAGACAATTGTTTCCAATGGCAAATAGAGATTCATCGGTGATAAAGGTTCCGCCAATGTTGAGGTGCTGCAAAGAAGTAGCTCTTGAGACCTGTAACCAAATGCATTCATTAGGTTTGGCTTTATACAAACTAAGTACACTGTTAGAACATTGTTCAAGCAAACTAAGTACACTGTTGCAGATCAGAGCCTTCTTTCAGTATTCATTGAGTTTAGCTTTATATAAACTAAACTTTATATTAAGCTCAGTCAAGAAGGATCATGCAATTTTAACAATAAAACAATCAGATTTATTTTGTTACTCCATCCAATCATATGAGTTTAGAGTAAACCCAACAACACAAAAACATACAAGTATATTGAGAAAATAAAAGTTGGTTTGAAGCATTTATGATGGAAATCAAGAAAATGAATGAATGTTTGGATAGAATTGATGTTCGTTTTCAAATTCGTGACGTGAGATGTGGTGTACAAGATATGTCGTATGAGAAAGAGAAACTAGAGCAACCAATTGTTGAGGCTATATACGAGGAAAAGATTGTATCTTTACCGAGTGATAATCTTACAAATCCAATTTTAGAGCAATCTCATGAACAACTAGTAGAAGAAAAAGAAATTATGGAGCACAAAAGTGTATTTTTGTCTAGTTTTGTTGACGAGGAGGTTACATTTGAACTATCTAAATTGGTAGCAAAAAGTCAAATTTCTACAACTTCCTTTTATGGTGATAATTGGGATACAAATATTTTCACGTATTATTTCCATTATATTGATTGCATTGACAAAGGTGTGTCATCAATTAAAATTTTGGAGCATTCAATTGAAGTTTGTGGTGCATTCATTGGTGTAAAATATAAGCATGACGTGGTTGGATGGAGACATATTCTTTTAGCTCATGTTCGATTAATTTGGATGATATCTTGGTTCCATGATTTGCTAAAACTTGGGACAAGTTTTTTTCAAGAGGGGGAGTATGATGCGGTTCCAAGGCATCAATATTGTTATTATAATTATTTTTATTGTTATTTTTAGTTTATTATTAGATGACCGAATTTATTAGGATATTTTTGTTAGTTTAATTCGGTTAGTATAAGATAAGCTTAACTTTAAAGATCATATTTGCAAAATATTATCTTTACAAGTTAGAGTTAGTTTCCTAGTTAGATTAGAATTTGTTTTACCGATTTTTAGGCTAATTATTTAGCTTATAAATACGTGATGGTGTTTAACGAAAAGTATGATTGATTGATTTGAAATTTATAAAGTTTTACGTAAGCTTGTGCTTGTGTATTCTTGGCCTAGTTTAGGTTTTAAGCTCGTGTTGCTTAGCGTTTCTTGACCGAGACTCAAGATTCCAAACCTTTCAACTGCGATTGAAGGTTATATCCATCAAAATTCATATCATATATTTAAAGAAGAAAAAAAAAATCAAACTCTGTTTGAAAGATTCAATTATTGTCCAAAACAAAGGATTAGATAAATAAAATAATACGAATTTTAAGCATGAAATAATAAAGAAATTAAAAACTGGTCATACATGTCAAGTTCCTTGAGAGAGAAGGCAAGATGAACAAGGCAAGAAGTAGAGGCATCATCCATTTTACATCCAGAAAAGCTCAAACTTCGCCTCCTTCCCATTGATTGCTTCACCCCTTCCCTCCATTTCTTACACACACACCAACTTGCCCTTCATTTACATACATAAACATGTTAGAAAATAAAAAATATTCAAAAGTCGTAAGTGGAAATTAATTCCTCTGCCGACAACAACCAGGATTTAATTGTCACGTTACTAGTTACTAGTGCGTATCTTAAATTTAAATTACACAATTGACGTGACAATAAAAATAAAAAATACTTACTGAGCTAAATCAGTGAAAGAAGAGAAAAGGAGGAATATATGAGACAGAAGATCAGTTGGAAGCTTTTCAATTTCTGATTCTTCAATATTCATTATTTCACCTATTTCTGATATTCTCATCAATAATAATTAGCAGGAGAAGATTCTAGAGAGAATAAATGAAAAAAGAGAGATAGAATGAATTGTTGGATTATAATTTAAATTTATAAAAATGAAAATATAGGCACGGCTTGATAAATTGGCTCTCTCCAAAGACATACAAACCAAAATTTTGGAGTGCAAAAAGCAATACTCACACGGAGCATGCATGGGGACAGAATTGAAACAAATAGTACAGGCTCACTGCCATACTTAAAACGTTAAAACCCAAATCTTGGAGTGCAAAAAACAATTCACATGCAAGTGCGTTGTAGCCCCCGTAATCATATGAATTTATATCCAAAATTATTAACAAAATCACATTAGATACTACTATACTCACAAAACCATTACAAGAAGAAACACCAAATCACAGGCTACATATATATAATTAAGAAAACACGTGCTAGAGACGTTAGGAAAATGGGGAAACATATACGGAGTACATATAACTAAGATATGAAATAGCCTATAATTTGAGCAAAAATGATGCATCTATGAAGCTTGAGAAATAAACATATACGGAGTACATAAATTCAAATGCTGAAAGATAGAGCTAAACTTGGATAATTACCAGAAGCAACCATTGCTTTAGGACCCAGCTCTTCAAAAAACTCAGCTTCTGGACCCTTTTCAAGGACAATGTGACAATACCTCTGAAACAAAAAGTAAACAAATGCTCTCCCATTAATACAATTAATCTGATTATCTAAATCCCTAAAAAAACTAAATTATGTGATTCATACCACGATTTAGATATTCAAGGTCGCGGCAGAACAGGGCAAGGAATGGAGATTTTGATTAACAGGAAAAATAGATAAAAAAAAATCAACCAAATGAAGACATTAATTAATATACCCACAGTCAATTTGACACATTCATATAGCTTAATCAATCGATGTTTACGAAGCCAATTTCAACAAGTAAATAACCTAATCGTCCAAACAAATTACAGTCAATTTAAAGTTGACCGCTGGTAGCCCCACAGCCACCACGCCTAACCAACCACATAAACCCACCACATGCACCACCTAAACCCAAACACACAACCTCAACCCACCCCTACCCGAACCCACACACCAGTCCGACCACCATAACCCACCCTAAGTCCCTAACCCAAACCCACACACCAGACCGACCACCCTAACCCACCAGATCCACCACCTTAACCCACCCTAAACCCACCAGGTCCCGCCTTAATCCACCAGATCCACCACCTCAACTTACCCTAACCCTAACCTGAACCCACCTTAACCAACTAAATTCATACAGAACAATGGAACAACTCCTCATTTATCTTAATTATCATTCAGAAAACAGATAATTTCATACTTCATACACAATCATGAATATTTCTTTCCTGAATTCAATCAATTATTTTACCAAATAAATTAAACCCAAAACGCAAAAAAAATCAAGGCATTTAACCTGAATAATTGGACCAAAACGCAAAGCCAAAGAACCTGGAAACCCTAACATCAAATTTCTGATTTTTGAATCGATAATTGATTCAAGTTTGTTGTTGTTGTATTTGGTTCAAATTGAAGACGGCAGCGACGGTGGTGTTGGCCAATTGATGCTTGCATGGTTCGAATTGGCGGCGGCATTGGTGGTTGTGCGAGGGTAAATGAAAGAGAGAAATAGAGAGCTGAGAGGAGAGTGAATGCGAGGTGGGATGGATAGATAGACAGAGAGCTGAGAGGAGAGTGCGCCGGCGAGGTGGATTGGACGGCGGCACGGCCGAAGAGGAAAGAGAGAGAGAAGAGGGAGATCTAGTTGAGGAGAGAGGAGAAAGAAGATAGAGAAAGCTAGGTCGAGGGTCGAGGAAAGAGAAAGATAATGAGGAAAGAGAGAGAAAATAGAGGGGCGTTTTTTGTTTTTATTTTTTTACTATTGCCACCGGTTTTTAACCGGTGGGATTAACATTTTCCCTACCGGTTCGGTTTGAACCGGTGGAAATAGTCTTCCCTCAAAATCCCGTCGAATTTTCTCCTTCTTTTTCCCACCGGTTTTAAAAAACCGGTGGCCATTGATCGGTGCCAATGACTGTTTTTCTACTAGTGAAAGTTAACAAGTAACCCTAACAAAAATTAACAAGTAACCCCTAAAATAAACAAGTAACCCTAACAATAATTAACAAGTAACCCCTAAAATAAACAAGTAACCCTAACAATAATTAACAAGTAACCCCTATAAAATTAACAAGTACCCTAACAAAAATTAACAAGTAACCCTAACAAAAATTAACAAGTAACCCCTATAAAATTTAACAAGTAACCCCTGTATAATTAACAAGTAACCCCTAAAATAAATAAGTAACCCTAACAAAAATTAACAAGTAACCTCGAAAATAAACAAGTAACCCTAACAAAAATTAACAAGTAACCCCTGTTAAACTAACAAGTAACCACTAAAATAAACAAGTAACCCTAACAAAAATTAACAAGTAACTCCTAAAAATATCAAGTAACCCCTATAAAACTAACAAATAACACCTGAAATTTAACAAAAATTAACAAGTAACCCCTCTAACTTAACAACAAATTCTGTAAAACTAACAAGTAACTCCTAATAAACTACGAGTAACAAGTAATAACCCCCTAAAACTTTACAAATAACCCTTGTAAAATCAACAAGTAACCCCTCCCTATAAAACCAACGAGTAACCCCTAAAACAAGTACACTGTAATTTTTAAAAGTAATCCCTACATAATGAAAAAAGTAACTATTGTTGTATCTTCTACATTAGCAAGCTCTTCCAGCATCTTCTTAGCAACCTCCATTTCATCTGCCTTTTTTTTCTTTTCATTCTCTGGTAATTCTTCATAAATTGCTTGATTTCTACTCAAGAAATCTCTCAAATTGCAGAGCATAGATGACAGAAAAATCGAAAAAGTACTAAAATTAGGGTTTGATTTATATCAAAAGTAGGAGAGTTCAGCGTATATGTCGATCCTTTCTTTCCCTTGGGGAAGATTATCTTGATTTTAGTCATTATCAACGAAAAGAACAATTTAGAGGAGAGAGAATTTGAGGAGAGAGAAAATGGAAGAAGAATAGTTTGAGGAGAGAGAAAATGGAAACAGAGAAAATGAGAAAACTTTGGGAAAGAAGAACCTTTTGATGTAATAAAATGAAAAAAAAGAAAGACACTTTTTTTTTTAATTTAAAATAACGGACCCGTTTGGTAGAACGGAGTCCGTTATATGAAACGGACAGGCCACACCATGTGGCCAGCCACATATAAAAATTTGCCTTTGTCTAATTGCATATTAATGTTTATATATATAGTTAGACCCCATCTTGTTTGTTTTATTTTAAAATAATTTTGGATCTACTCTATTTATCTTATTTTCACTTATTTCAAGTGTAATAAGTTCATATTGGTTCAGTTTTGATTTAATAAGTTCTAATAAAGGTTATCCAATACAAATTACAACTAAAATAAATTTTAATAAAGTCTAATAAGTTTAGATAAATTCAGATAAATTTAGTTAAATTCTGATAAGTTCATGTTAATTCATATAAGTTCATATCAATAAAAATCAGATGAATAAAACACACCCTTAAATTACGTTCGTTCAAATACGATAGGTTTTGAGATACTTGCAACTCAATTATTTTTTATACCAGCTAGTAACAAAAATTGCCTTAGTAGGCCGGGCTGCTAGGGGCAATATAGTTTTAGATAATCCCTTTTGTTAGATAATATTTATATTATCTTCTAATCCGGTACAACACCAACGTACCAAACACATTGAGATGGACATTCATTTTATACGCGATAAGGTCGCTCTTGGTGAGATCAAGGTCTTACATGTTCCGTCTTCATATCAGTATGTGGATATTTTCACAAAGGGGCTACCTCGCCAACTATTCCTCGATTTCAGAGATAGTCTCAGCATTCGACCTCCTCCCGCTTCGACTGCGGGGGTGTGTTAGATAATATTTATATTATCTTGTGAATATTCTGTAAAATATATCTTGTGTTATTTAGGTTATTTCATGTTTAGGTTCTAAATCCTATATATTTTCAACTAATGAGAAAGCCTCCACTAAGAAGAATTAGATGCACTATTCTACACCTTTGATATGCAATGATAGAATTTTACTTTTTTTTTTTTTAAAGAGTATGTAATTTTATTTTATTTTTATTTATTTATGTTTTTACTGATGGTGTTGATCTTATATCTAAATAGAAAATTATATATTAAAGTTTACATATCAATATGCTACCTCTCACTGTGTGGATTTCCTACTTATCATTTAAATAAAAATAAAATTATTGCAAGCATCATAACACCCCTTTCCCTTCCCCTACTTTGCTATTATAATCAACTAATAGCTACTCCGTATTAATTGTGTAACGATAATTTATTTGATAACGATGATGACAATAATTTCTTCAAAATTAAAATGAAATTAAATTAAGAATTTGCACTTGTATTATCTCTATCTTGCACTTAGAGTGAATATTTTTTTTTTCTTTTGGTTCTCATCAGTGTTTTTACAATTTTATTTATGTATGATCTCCAAATTTTGTTTCTACTATAATTAAGAGTAACATGTGCATTGCATAAAATTAAACTAGTTGATTTTGGTATGACGGTGCATGATTAGAGCTAAGGTTGTTTAGCTTGCTTATAATAGTAACTCCCTCATCTCATTTCTTAGGGACATTGTTGTCATTTCTTATACTTTATGTAATTGGGCTAACTATACATGAGACTTAAGAGGCCCAAAAAGTTATCCATATACTATATTGATCCTTTTATCGATAGATATTTTATTTTATTTTTCTTTTAATAAGTTATGTTTTAATTTTTAATTTTTAATATTTTTTATGCAAAAGTTTATGTTTTTAATATTGAGATATCCTAATCTTTGGTGCACTTTTTATATTAAAAAGATATACAAAATACTTTATAGGTTTAAAAGAAAATTAATTAAGGTGGAAAATATGTGTGAAATGATAGGATTGGTCAAGTTTTTGGGAATATTATTTCAGATAATTAAAGTGGAAATTTTGTATGAATTGATAGGATTGGTGTGAAAGAGGATGAACATTATGAAGTAGGGTCAATCCTTATTAAAGATGAGCAATGCCTTTGTAAATGTTTGTAAGCATACGTTATAGTACTCTTTTTTTTTTTTTTTTTTTTTTTTTGAGGGAAACATTATTGTACTATTTAGTCTTTACTACGTGATAAGATTAGTCCCACTTTTTTTTTTCTCTCTCTCTTTTGTGTGAGTTTTTTTTTTTTTTTTGACACATTCGTGTGAGTTTACTCTCTAATAAAGAATCAACCACATTCAATCAAATAAATAAAAAATAACATACATGTACAATTGTACGCTCCATTCGATTTAACTTGTCCCTTCTCAAACTATATATGCACCCAACTAAATAAAGGATGATTTATGAAAGTATGGTTATTTTAAAACTTATTTACACTTTTGCGTCGGAATGAAACTTAATTACGAAATTACTGTCCACGTAGGCTCGGATAAGTTTTTATTTTATTTTTCAAAGTAAAACCGCTACCTCAAGTAGCTGTTTATGTACTAAAACCGCTACTTGAGGTAGCGGTTTTACCCTTCATAAATTGATTAAATGTATCTATACTTAAGGTAGCGGTTTGTCTCGAAAAAAATTACCCCCAAATGTATCTCCAAACCTACGTGGACTATATTTTCGTAAATAAGTTTCATTCCAATGCAAAACCGTAAATAAGTTTCTTAAAAGCTATATTTTTGTAAATCATCCCTAAATATATCTTTAAGTGTATTTTTTTTGCTAAAATGATAATTTTCGCTCATTATAAAATTTAAATAAGTAATATCAAATTTGTAAAATTATACATATATATATATATATATATATATATATATATATATATATATATATATATATATATATATATATATATATATATATATACTTTGTATTATCTTTTTTTTTTTTTTTGAGGAAACTTTGTATTATCTTTTAGGTACAACTATCCTTAATTTTTGCTCCTTTTTTGGCCAAAAAGAAGGTTTTTTTTTTTTTACAAACAAAAAGATAGTGTTAGAGAGACAAGATTGGACAATATTGAAACAAAGGTTAGTTGTTAATTATATCTCTCATTTAAATTTCGCATGATCTCACTATACAGAGAGCAAAACACGTCTCATTATTCAAGCATTAAATTAAATTATTATCTAGTTCAAAAAACATAAAAATGAATTACTATCTATTAGTGACAAGAACATAATATATTCTATATGGTCTTTTTCATCCTCGTATCTTATGAAGTTATGATCCTTCAATTAGCCATCATGCATCGTCTAAATCCCTAACTAACTTGACTTTTAAAAATTCCCATTTGTCTTTATCAAACCGTTAAGTGTCGTTGATAAGCATTTTCTAAGGGATGTCCCCAATAAACTATATTTAGAAGAATCTATAAATGCGACTTTAATTACATATGCATGATGATTTAATTAAGTAGATCAAACATGAGAATCAACGGGAGTATGTGATAGATAGAAAAAACAACTCCTTTCTCTCTCCAAAACCCTAGCCTCCATTGTTAAATTTTAAAGGGGCTTCCATCGATTTTAATCGGTGGAAAGCCCCAATCCTTTTTTCTTTATTGTTTTTTTAGGTTTATAATAATGCCTCCTTTTGGGAGGAACTTTTCTCCCTCGAAAAAAAGGGTTTCCGATCTCCTTCGAAAGACAAGGGTTTTTCGACCTCCTTAGAAAGACAAGGTTTATCTCCTCTTTTCGCGGGAGAAATTTCTTAGTTTTGAATCTATGGTAGCAGATCTAATGGATTGTCGTGAAATTATTTCGTTGGTGAAAAAGTTATCAAGTTTTCGAATACGAACAGATGAATTAAAAGGAAAACATCCTCACGGCTACAACGGATCGTTAGATTGTCTCTCCAACTTTCAGCGATATAAGCGGGAGATGCTCCGCAGTGCAAGATCTACTCAACGATCGTAGTTTTTATGAAGGAAAATTCTATCTGATTCAATATCTTATGTATTTGTTAACGTCGAATCTCTATTGTAGATGTCGTATGACTTTTGATTAATAAAATATTTTTGCTATTAAAAAAAAAAAAAATCAAACATCTCTAGA